GCTTGAGACCATAAAGTGCTTTGTTCAGCTTGCAAACTGCATCAGGAAAAACAGAATGCTCAAAACCAGGTGGCTGCTTTATGAAGACTATTTGAGTTAAAACTCCATTAAGAAATGCATTGTTAACATCTATCCATGTGTCACAACTAGAGTGAGACCTAATACGTATAGTAGCTGGTTTAATCACTGGACTGAAAGTCTCGAAGTAATCAAGATCGGGAGTCTGCTGAAAACCCTTTGTAACTAACCAGGCCTTATATTTCTGTAGGGTTCCATCAACATTAAATTTTGTGCAAAAAACCCCTTTGTTTCCCACTATGTTCACGTCAGAAGTGGGGTCAACAAGCGTCCAAGTGTTGTTAGCTATAAGTGCATCATACTCACACTGCATGGTAGTATTTCAATTGCTGCTTTGGAGAGCTTCAGAGACTATACCAGGTTCTGATTCAGCAAATTCAGTACTGCCAGATCCACCAATGAGAAGTGCAAAATGATTAACATCACCAATTTGACTATAAGGAACCATATGGGACTGGACAGCTGACTTAGATCTGGTCACCATTGGATTAATATTCTCATATACTGACTTATCAGTTGGTTCAGCAACAACTTGCAGTGAATTGAGATCAACAACAAGCTAACATGGTGGTGATATATTGGAACAAAGGGTCTCACCGAGACAACTGTCATTTGGGTCAGCAGCAACTTGCGATGAAGTGAGATCAACAACAAGCTGACATGGTGAGGAAGAGCAATCTGTAGGAATAATAGGGAGAGTATCTACTATGGTTTGATTATGGTCAATGAAGATTTTGTGATCAGAATGAGGTATAGTAGGGATATTAGATGGGTTGGACATACAAACAAACCTGGAAGAGATATTAACGGAAAGAATTGGTATTGTAGGAGCTGGTATAGTGTGTGGAGAAGACACAACGAATTGAGAAGTCTTGCCTACTACTGCATTGTTTGAAGGTGACTGATCAATAGAGTCAATTACTGCAGGGGAACCAAAGGGAGCTGAAGGGTGATAATGACTAGGATTAGAGTCACAAGGAAAATGTAAAACTTGTGGACTTGTACAAGTGTCAACACTGGTTTGAGATGAAGAGTTTAGATTTGTGTGTGGGTAAGAAAACATATTATTGATTGCAAAAGGAAATTCACATTCATTGAATTGTACACTAGGGGTGATAATTACTGTTCCATCAGGTTTTAGACATTTGTAACATTTGTGTACTAAGCTATAACCAACAAAAACACACTTTATGGTATGGAAATCAAATTTGTGCCTATTGTAATGCCTAGTGTAAGGAAAACATGAGCAGCCAAAGACTTTTAAGCCTTCATAGATAGGAGTTTGGTTAAAAAGATTTTTATAAGGACACACATTATTTAGGATAGGAGTAGGCAGTCTATTGATTAAGTAAACGGCAGTTTCAAAGGCTAGCCACCAGTATTGCAATGGCATAGATACATGGGCCAAAAGTTTAAGACCATACTCTACAATGTGTCTATGTTTCCTTTCACTCCTACCGTTTTGTTGATGAACATAAGCACAAGACTGTCTAACCTGAATACCTTGATCAACTAAGTATGGTAAAAGGGCTTTGTATTCCCCACCTTGATTAGATTGTAGGGTTTTTAGTTTACATCCAAATTGCCTTTCAGCAAGATGCTAAAATTTGATAAAAACTTATCAGACTTCAGCTTTGGTCTTAAAAGGAAACAACCATGTAAATCTACTGTAGTCATCCAAAAACTGCACATAGTATTTAAAACCTTCTACTGAGGTACAAGGGGTAGGGCCCCAAACATCACTATGGATCAGTTCTAATGGAGCTATGACATGAGATTGTGATGCTGGAAAGCTAGACTGGTGTAATATACCTAATTGGCAAGCATCAAAATAGGTAACACTGGAACTAATAGAGGTCCTAATTTTCGATGGAAATTTTAAATGCAAATAAGTTAAAATTTGATGCTGAGTTTATGAATGAGGATGACCTAATCGTTTGTGCCAAAACATGTATTTATCAGACTGTGTGTTGGCAATTAAATAATGAACATCAGTAGTATTGTGTTTGTGGTCAGAATTATCATATATAAAGACTGTTTTAGAGACAAAACTATTGTCAGAATCAGAAATTTCATTATTTTTCAAGCAAGTAGTACATTGACAATTTTCAGTAACAAAAGATGTACAAGTGCTATTATTTAAAACATGAGAGACCTGATCAACATTGTCACTGAGATAAAAAAAAATCTAACCTGAAGAGGACTGACCTCTATTATAGAACTGACTTGTATTATTGGACTAACCTTCATTTAACTGGACTGAACACCTGATGTCATTACAAGTATTTGACAGTTGAGAATCAGGTTTCTTAATAGAGCTAACAGAGGCTATATGGGAAGACAAATTATTTAGGGATGACACATGAGTGGATGACACATGAGGAACATAGGAAGGCTTGTTGGAGGAGGAATTCAGCTGGTACATGCCCTCTTTAATATCCCCTTACAGTAGGATTGCTCTTGTGACATGGTCAGTTGCCCCTGAATCCATATACCACACTGGATCAGTGGGTGTAAGAGATGTAGCCACCGCAAATTGTTATTGTGCTTGTGGAAGGGACTACACTGAAGAGGTTGAAGGTTGAAAGGGTTGTGCTGAGTGAAAATTGGAACACACGACACGAAATGTGCTTGATTCTGACTAGTTATCTGCTGACTTGGAACATTATAAGCAGTAGCAACCACATTGTCAAAGTGATTTGTGCCATTGTTGAAGTTCCCATGTTGAGTACTAACTTGAGTTTTATAAAATGGTTGTGGATAAGCTGATGGACAATAAGAGCCTCCTGCATGACCATTAAACTAAGGAATGCTGGATGGGTAATGATTTCCACCACTATTGTATTGATAATGGTTGTATGAATGCTGGTTGTTATGTGGTTGAGATGATAATCCTTCATGATATGAACTAGGTGGTTGTGATGGGTAGCCAATGGGATTCTGAGGCATACCAGTGAAAGCAGAGTTATACCTATGATAACACTGCCCAGTTGAATGTCATGCTTTACTGCATAATTGACATATTAGTTTTCCTCTTCTGGCACTATGTCCTCTTCCTCTACCATATGATACTCCCCTAAAATAAGATGGTATGTTGTTATTCAGAGGTTCATTGTAGGTTTGAGGGATAGTTTGAGAGCTAGGTATTATGGGATATTGAGGGTAATGAGGATTGCCGAGAGACATCAGAGTGGGAGGTGTTGTATAACATGGTCCAGTCATTTTGTCAGATTGTTGGCTAACTAGGTTTGGTTTGGAGGAAATGTTTGTGACATTGTTTGAACAATTAGAATCACCAATAGAGTTGCCAATAGAAGCTATGTGGGCTGAACAATTGTATAGATCAACAGCATTGAACTTTTCAAGTCTAAGTTCATATTTTTGCAGCAAAAATGTGGCTTCTTGCAATGTAACATAATCAAATTTTGACTCAATTCATAAGGTTAAGTTCACTACAACAGCATCGAACTCAGGACCAAGTCCATCTAAGATGTACTGCAATAAATCTTCATCAGTAATTATCAGTCCACTAGCAGACAGACTCTTTGAAATTTCCTTCATCTTTTTGACATAATCTCCTACATTTAAATTTCCTTTTTGTGTTGTCTAAAGTAAATTCTTGAGATGTAATGCTCTAGCATTTGAGTCAGTAATGAACTCATGTTCTAACGCAAACCATATCTTAGTAGAGCTTCTACATTTTGACACATACCTAAACATGCTTTCTGAAATTGATGCTAATAACCAACTAGCTAAGAACTTATTGGTTCTTTTCCACATTATATAAGCATGATTCAATTGCTCATTAACTGAAACACTACTTGCCCTAACTTCACCACTAGATTTACCTTACTCATGATCAATTGCTGAATCAGAAATTATAAGAGGTGAGGGACAGGAAACCCTACCAAGTAGATGATCTTCAAGTTCGTGAAAGCCAATTGTGGACAACACTTGAGAGCTCCGAAAAGGGTAATTACTTTAGGTTAGCTTCGGATTTATGTTTTGAAGGCTAGTAGCAAGAGCTGGAGTAGCTCGATTTGGTTATTGCTTCAACATCTCGTTTGAGTCGTTGAGCACATCATAAGATTTTCCAAAATTCGCCATTGACGCAAGTCACGGCTCTGATACCATGTGTGATTGCAACTGAAAATAGAGAACTGAAAAATAGAGAGAGAGTAAGAACAGAGAAAGCACAAATCTCTTTATTGAACTTTCGTTAATAACAAAGAAAGAGTGCTACTGTTTTTACATATACTCAATTCAGTAGACTTTAACACTCTAAACAGCAGTGTTTTGGGTGTTCATATTTGAGCTAAACGACAGCGTTTCCTTCAATAACTTTGGCACTTTGTCATTTATCCAACAGATACACAAGCAAAGAACTCTTGCACACAAATCCAAATATGCTTATTAAGTTGTTAAATTTGTTACAATTGCTCCATCCAAGGCTTATCATTGGATATGTAATTATAAAGTAGTTTCTAAACGTTTTATACCTTAATTTCCATGGATTTATAAATCTTTAGCTATAGGAAGCCAGCTAAGTACCCTAATTTTCGCGTGTTTTAACATCATAATCAATCTATGAGCTGTATATTTATTTGGCATAAATAACTCTATATAAGGATAATATAATAGTCAAAATTCAATCACATTTATGTTTACAATATGTGACATATCCCTAGAAGAACAAGACCATCGCATAAATAATCTCAAATTCAAAACATCAACACTTTTTTTCATAAAAGCTCACACATATATCTTACAATGATATCAACAAGAAGGGGACAGTCTATATCTTACATCAAACATTATTCTTATCCTATCTTACAATATGGACATGCATGCAACATCAAGTGAAGACTTACCAAAATATCGATGATATCAATTATAAGTAGTACTACATATATAACATTTTTCATATAATATTATATGGCAAAATATGATCGATTGATTTTAAATTAAAATTAAACTTACACCTAATCATCTTTTGCCACATAATGTTGTATGAAAAAATGTTGTATGAGTAGGATTATTCATCAATTATAGGTGGAAGAAGAGCTGCTGTTTGATGTGTAGTTGAAGTCATTGAATTTGCTGAGGAGATTCTGCACATATTGTCTTTTGATACCGATTCGAACCAGGAACCCTCCTGATTCTTCAAGATTTGGCATTAGAAATGCAGTTTCAGGAACAGGAGTTGCCAAGAGAGCTGCAGTTGAAACTCTTCCCCATCCAAAATCAAGGGCATGCAATGGGAACTTTAACCAATCAGTTACTATTGTCAGCTCTCTCATGGAGGGTAAAAACTTATCAGAGGTCTCAAGAGCCTTCGCATATAATTTGATATATTCGTCCGTGATAACACCTTTCGCAGCTTGAATTCTTTGGATTGTGTAATTTAGAGGTTCTTCTAATAGCTCTCTCACCAAACATGACACTGAGGCAAGGACAATGGCATTGCCACTAAAGTTTTTACCAAGAGGGGGATGGAACCGGCTTCTTGAATCCACTGGGAATTGCAAACATATTTTTGTATCGGGATGTAGCTTGAGAGCAGTCACTCTTGCCTTTATGTTCAGAATGTCAGCATCAGCCATTAGTATACCACTTTTAGTTCATCAGTATTTTAAAAGGGAAGACTCAAGATATATATAAAATGATCATGTTAGTCATAGTAGATGTCCTATGAATGTATTACATAATTTATGAGCAATTCTTTTGAGGAAATATCACTTATTTCCGTTGACATGTTATTGTATTATAAGAAAGGTCAGCAAAAATTTGAAAAAACTCAATAATTTGACATCAACTTTTTAAATTTACGATGGTTAAGTGAATAATTTGAAAAATAGCTCAGGGGAGATTAGTGAAATATATTTGTTTTCTTTTTCCTTTACACCAAAAATCTGGTAAGAGTACTCTTCTTTAGTTTGTTTTATAATTAATATAAAGCAAATTATATTAATTATAAAACAAACTAAAGAAGCAAATAAACAACAAATTGGCAGATTGTATATTCGGAGCAATCTGAGTTCGTTAACATATAAAAACTTCACTTTATTCTCGGTCAGTGAAGTTGGATTTTATAAAAATCAGAAGACTAATAGTGGTCCAGGGGAGTTCAGTTATGAATTAATTAGTTATCGAATCAAAATTAATTTTCTTTTTTTGCAATCACGACACAACCACAAAATTACAATAAAATATGCAATAACAAATACTTACCTTCCATACATGTGCGCATAAAATATCAAATGTGGAGCACTTAGAGAGTTTGCCACTTTCCTTAGTAGCCAGCACTTTCAATCTCTCTACAACTTCCTTCTGCACACTAAGTGTAACAAGTGCAAGCTCACCTTGAGGCTCAATCTGCCCAAATTTTGATAGCGCCGTTTCCCAGCATCGGTCATCGGAGGCCATGGCTTCCATAGGTATGCCATAGAGATCTTGAATAGCTGCAATGTGTTCTTGTTCATATATTGAAGAAGTTTTAGGGCTTGAATTCGGAGAATAGATGGCTTGTAGAAGGGCAGCTCTTGAATGGTTGGGCGCAACAAGGTTGGAATCATCTTTCCCTTTTGATGTGTTAGCCCAAGCTGCTAGAAAGTTGAACGCGCCGACGCCATCGAACAAAGCATGGCTGCCTCCAATACCTATTGAAATCCCTCCACAAGCAAACTTTGTCATCTGCAAAAGAGGTGAAAATGTCTATCAACTGATTAGGTATCTTGAAATCGTAAAAAAATACATTTGAATGTTCTTCCACCGATATTTGAGAAGATTAATCCGTTGTACAACCCTTTGTGTTTTGCAACTTGAATTAGAAAAAGAAAAGAAAAAAATAATTAGGGCAACGGAGAAATACAGAAAAAATAAAAGAATGAAAGCAGAAAGATAGAGAAGAGGGAATGCCATGTGTATTCTCTTAAGCAAAATTAAAATAACACTACATACCATTTATATTTACTCAGTTTGAAGAAAAAGAAGTAAAAATAACCTCTCCTTTCAATTTTCCATCTGGGGTTCTTAAAGGGGTTTTACAAGTGTAATCAAACCAATTCAAGGAAATGATAGAGGGCGTCTGCAGTTGTTAACCAATCAATCATCACAATTTCCTTTTAATTTTTTAGTCTATCTCGTGTAAGTTGAATTCAATAAAAGAAAAATGGTGCAGTAATCCTGCTAATAAGAGAAAGCTAAACTGGATTAGTAATTTCGGGTTATCGAATCTTGACGAACATTCATGAAAGTTAAGTATTATGTAAGACAAGATAAACTAGATTTTTATTCATGGTTTAAGGTTATGTAAGACAAGATAAACTAGATTTTTATTCATGGTTTAAGGTTAGCAGGTTACTACTATGAAGTGATCTTCCAAAATATATAAGAGGCTTTCAACGTTTAATGAATACAACAAATAAAATCTATATAGGTTTAGGTCTCGGGTTAGGGTTTTATTATTCATGAGTAAATTAAGCTAACTGTTTGTGAAACAGAGATGCCCTAGCACCTATTTAGATGACAAAAAAAATTAAGAGATTATGAAATCAAGAAATTAAAAATTCTTGTGTTTGCTGATATCTCTTGAATAAAATTAAACCTCTAGAATTACAAGTGCAAACTTTGCAAATTGATCGATGATTGATGATTTTGAAAACTAAATCTCTCTTAACCCTTAAAGAAAAACTTTAAAATCTCCCCTACCACCAGCAATGATCAAGTAAGCCTGTGAAGAGAATATAAACTTTAAATGGAGAAGAGAAATAAAATATATGTAGGGTTCTTATTTCATGAAAAATACAAACCTGCACAACAACCAGGGGGTTTTCTGATATATCATTTGCTTCAGGAAGTTTAGGAACTAGCTTTTCATAGCAAGGTTTATATTCATGCAAGCAACCAAGCTCTTCAAGCCTGGACTTAGTCAAAGCAGTGACCATGGCGACGCCTTCATCGTTGCAATCAATCTCTAGCTTCCCTGTAGTCCCATGGAATTTAAATCTCCCTGCAGCCGGATACCATTGACTCAACACCTTTTGGAGAGCTTTTTTGGCTCTCTCAACATGATCAATTTCTTTTTTCAACTGAGACTTAAAAAAAAAGATCATGTAGAGAATTGCTGGAGACATCCTGTCGAGACCAGAGAGATCAATAGTTTGTGTATTGGATTGTTCACATGGCCTCACAGTTACAGTCTCCTTCAAGGTTATCTGCAAATCCATTACTTAGGAAATGATTGAGAGAATTATATATCTTAATGGACACTACAGAAATTATGAAAGTTGTCTCAAGTACATCAAATGTGATGAAAACCCTAAATTTATACCATTACAAAACTAAAAGATGCTGTCTCAGGTCAACTTAAAGGAAACCCTACTTCCATAAGCAAGTAGGCCTGCCTAATGTTGCTTTTTGGAAAAGTTAAGTAGTGGATGAGCTAGATTTAAATAAATCTTTGAAACTATAATGAATGATATCTAATACAAATTTGCATATTAAAAGATGACTTTGTCCTATATGTAGAGTGATGATAATTACTTAATTAGTAATGTGGGTTATGATTTGGCAAGCAAGTTGTGAATGCGTTTTGTTGTTTTGTGGAGTTTTCAGTATTATTTCAAGGCATAGGAATGGGTTTGCTTTAATTTCTTCTTGTAATGGTTGCCACCCCGTAAACTTGTCTGATGGTTGAAGAGCCAATGAAGGTGATGAGATGGCTGCATATAAATTTTTTTGCAACTTTTTAGAGTTAATTTTAGTTATCATCATCCATTATTGAAACTTTACACTTAATATCGCCAAACCAACTTCTTGTTGACATATTTTGTTCAGTATAACAGTGAGGGAGAGTAAGATCAATCACTATGCCAAAAAAGCTTGTAAATTACTTTGACCAATATTTATAGGAATAACAGGTAATAAAAAAAAAATACACACTAGTAAATTACTCTCTTCTTTTAATGTACTTTAATTTATTTCTTTGAGCAAACCACAACATCTTATCAAAGGGAAAGAAATTATGATAACTTTATCGAGAAAGACATAATCATGAGCTAGCCTTATCAAAATTTGATTTAAAACAAATGAATTTTCAAGAGCAGCATTTTTTCAAACCTCAATAATGTAAAAGTATCCGCAATGGAATTAACTTGAGGAAAATATGAGTATAGCGATTTCTTTTTATCTAGTTTGAAAGAATAGTAAAAGCATGTACTGTAGTTGTAGTGGTGAGGCCAATTTGAACAAAACTCCAAAAAACTTGATGATATCATTAATCCTCTCATCACATCCCTGATTGATCAATAAACTTCCCGAAGAGTAGGTTAAAAATGGACCCTCTTGTTCGGTCTCCATGGACCCCAATGTACAAAGCTTTTTAATATACCGACAAGAGCTCTACGTGTATGCATCAAAGTTTTCTGTCTGCCCATTACAACCAAAGTATTGCAGAAAACATGCATCCGGTTTCTTATCTATTCTTGTCCTTATATTGTTTGTGCTTATATTTGTCATGACCAGCATTCAAACCTCTCCAACGTCCATTTCCTCTTTTGTTGCTTATGATAATAATGGTGGCAATATCTCATTTCACGCTTCCGCCTTCCAAAAATTTTTAGATGTATCGTACCATTTGTATATTAGTACCATAACAACTTGGTAGATTTGTATCTAGTTTTAAAATCAACAATCATATATAAGGATACATGAATAGAATGTTTATCATTCAAGCATATGCAAGATTTTCCCCATTAATGGGGAGATTTAATTGGGTACAAAGTTGTACTACATATATAATCCATATATAAAATACCAATTAACTGCTGGTTAGGATATATAAATAAAAGAAAATAGAATACTTGTATACATACAATGAATTTATCAGCTAGACAAATAGGTGATTGATACATTAATTGGATACAAACATTTCTATTGGACATTATAGCTAAATTTTTTAGATATAACTTGTAAATAAGATGTAGTCTCCAAACATATAAAGAATTAAAAATCAAATACTCCGAAGAAATTGTTGCAGGGAAGGAAAGTTGGCTCTCCGCATTCTTAAAGGCTACCACTTGAAGACTTTGTAAGGTTATCACTTTCTTGCTTGATACTTAATTAACCCAAGTCGCAATATAAGTAGATGATCACATATGTAAGAAATTTTGATGAAGATCTATAACCTCACTTGGGTAGGTAAATTTTTATTTCAATTAGATGAAATAGTAAGTTGTTTATATTGCAAAATGTAAAAACATTTCTACCATTATTGACCTCTAATGTTAGTTGCCATGATTTATAACCTTTTTTTTTTTTTTTTTTTTTTCTTCTAAAGAGACAAACTAAGGAAACTTCCATTTCCAGAAGATCCACCAAAAAGTCTACATGGGCCTGGTTTCTTTAAAAAAAAAAATGAACAGAGTACAGAAGGCCTTAATGGCTAACAAGTTTGTGTATCACATTTATTCTTGACCACTTTCATGATTTACATCATGTAGCGTTCCTGTATAAGTAATTTTAGTTATCTTTTTATTACAAACATAATTAGAAAGAATGAACTTTCTTATTTTCCTCTGCAGACCTTCAATCGTGAGAATTTTTTTCTGTGATGATTAGTAATTAAGAATCTTTTGTCGATAGTCGTTATTAGTGTGACATATAAGAATCATCAATAACCTGTTAATAGTGAAAACTGTTATCTTATATAGCATCTACATTAGCCTAACTAGCTTCACCTTTAAACTTTTATGTCAAGTGTCAACTCAACATAGTATCAAAGTCAAATGTAACATGCTTACATCTCAAATTTTAACTGAATAAAAATAAAAAATAAAAAACCTAAGTTTTATGTGAGAGAGTCTATTAAACTCAAATGTAATGTTTGACCCCTTGCTACTAGCTTAACTTTTTAAGTCAAGTGGCAACTTAACAAAGAGGTATATACTAGATATATTCAATAGTTATGTAGTATACTTAATTAAATTTGATTTATGTGTTAAGTAAAAAGAAAACCACCCAAAATAATTGAATGGGAGATGTCAAAAACAAAGAAAGATTGCAATTCCATTCAAGAACATCATTTACATGGTTTGACAGAGAAGCCTGGATCAATTCTTGAGTTCTGATTAACAGAAAACTAGAAAATAAAAAATAGTCGTACAAACCTCTAATTATGGAAGTCTAATCTCAAATTCACACTCTAAACATTTATTTTATTTTTTGTTTACAATCTCTCATACCTTCAATCTATTTGTGGGGAATTGCTTTGCTACTGCTATTTGCCTTACTAAGAGTCAGTAGTGATAATTGGAATATATATGAATCCTTTTCACCATAATTTAATTGTAAAAATATTTGATATTATTTGAGATCTTTCCCGGACCAATAAAAATTATTGCCACAGGTTTCTTTTCTATTTGTATTGCTTTCCTGGTGGAGACAATTATTAGATATCTACATATAATAGTAACAAAATCAGTTTTTAATATCATTCTAAGCATTCATTGTCCTTAGATGCTTAGAATGATTACTTGAATTATATATACAAGTATATATAATAGATTAGGGAATCATATATTATTTTTAAATTCTCACTTATGATGGTAGATGATGATGGACTATCACAGGAATAACAGACAATTATTACCCATTTTATTTTTTAAGGATGACGCATCGATTCTGTTGCTTCTAACACTGAAGCATCTTCCATACAATACATTTATGAAAGTTCAAATTAAGTTCACTTCCTTGACAGTTCTTCAAACACTTCATCGAAACAGAAGTTATTTGCCCAATCTTCATTGCCTGCAATGAAAAGAAAAGTGGAAACTCGTTATAAACATATAAAATGCAAAGTATGGAACTTAATTATTCAGCTTTTAGAAGATGAAATCGATAATGTTACATACTTATCCAGGGATACTTTTATCTTGCCGGCATTCTGATCAGCGATGGATTTAAAGGCTTCTTGGGACAAGTCAATGGTGCCTCGGCAGTTGGGCAATAGTCGACAATAGTCACCACTACTGTTAGGAGATCACGTAGCGGAAAACATGCTTTCGAGATAAATAACATAGGAACAAAATTAGACCACACAAAGAGATACGAAATTTACGTGGTTCAGCATAACTTGCCTACATCCACGGATGAGAAAAATCCACTATAGTTTCACGAACACGATATACAAGAGTACACAAAATCATAAACCCGATCTATAAAATAGAGCGGAAACATCCTAGTTTCTAAGCATGCTCAACCCAATATCTAAAGTAGAAACAATCTCAGTTTCTAAGACACTCTCTCCATAGTGTTTAATAACCCTTACATCAAATACCATGCGTTCTCACATTCTCTCATTATGGCCTTGCCTTTTTTTCAATTTGTAATGTATAACTCTAGCATTTAACCCCTTTTTATAGGTAATACATGAGATACTATTTCTAATAGGACTCAAACCCATATCCTAATAGGAATTATATTTTAATTCCTAATACAATTATAACCCTATTCCCAATTATATTCCTAAAAGAAAACAATTCTACTTAAACACAAATTAGGAAAACCCATGTCCTAATCCAACTCTAATTTGGATTGAATTTGGCTCCACAATCTCAACAATCTCCCACTTGGAGACTAATTCAACATATCTTCAATTCTTTACTTCCATCAACAGCGACATCAACTTTTCTTTCTTCAAGCGAGAAGTCCAACTGAAGTTGTACACAACTTCAGTTTCTCAATGGTAACCACCTTCATAAACATATCAGCTGGATTTTTACTCCCTTCAATCTTCTCGAGAGTTATAACTCATTCTTCCAAAACTGGGCGTATGAAATGGTAACAAACTTCTATGTGTTTTGTCCTAGCATGGTAGATTGGGTTCTTTGCTAGGTGAATTGCATTTTGACTATCACAATACAAAACGCTCCTCTCATAATTCTAACCCAATTCTTCTAAGAACCATTATAACCATATTAGCTCCTTACTAGCTTCTATCATGGCAACATACTCTGCCTCTATAGTAGAGAGAGCAACAATCATCTATAACTTTGAAACCCAACTGACTGATGTACCACCTAACGTAAAGACATAACCTGTGTTACTCTTGTGGTTATCAATGTCACCAGCCATATCAGCATCCACATAACCTTGTAGCTCTAAGTCTGATTTCCTAAAGCATAATGCTAAATCTATAGTACTTTTCAAATATCTGAGAATCCACGTTACTGCTTCCCAATGTTATTTTCATAGATTGCTCATGTACCTACTCACAACTCC